AACAAATAAAATTAATTCATGTATCAAATGCATTCTTTTGGAAATCTAATATTTGATTATATATATATATTGCCTGGAGCTCAATAATGTCAAATACTTAGAGTGGAAAACTATAGCCAATTTTCACCCCTCCACACTTTTAGTGTACTCACTTGCACATAGCAGAGACTATCATCATTATCTGATTTTTTTTTTAAAGTTTTGAGATTGAGTTGGTTAGACTGTGCAAACTCAATTACTGTTTACAAGTCAGTCTAATTTCTGGAGTCACTCCTCAAATAGCAAAATGCCAGGACTAGGAGGATTGTACAGGAAGAATCTGCATTCCTACAGCCACCCTAAAAAAGCAATTTATCCTATCATCATCATGTAATTCTGTGCTAAATTAAGCACAGCATCTGCACTACAGAGTAGACTCATACACCAAACCTGCCACAGATGGGCTGCAGACTGGTTGGTTCATCTGTTCCAAATAAATTATCTTTGTTTTTGAAAGAAGAGCCTGTAGGTACTAGATACATTAACTTTCATTTTTATGGTCTGTTTGAGCCTATTCAGATGTTACCCAACAATCTGTGATTTACTGCTGTCTAAATGCGGGAAGCAGGAAGGCATAGAACAACAGTTCTCTGCATGGGCACAAGTGGGGCATGAATTTTTCCCCCCTCTGGAAAAGAAATAGGACTTAAGAGAACCACAGATACTAAAACATATTTTTATAATAAAAAAAGTCTTGAATTCTAAAAGGACAAAGTCTTTACTTCAAGTTTGCAGATGGTAGCATTATTTTCTCTCAATTTTTTAAAAAAATATTTATATACACAAATAAGGCCAATGCCTAAGACGTGGGACAAAAAACGGCTGCTGTCATATTATCTTTCATTCATAAAAATGTTGTTAACTCTCTCACACTTGGGGCAGTGTAGACTGCTATACGGTATGTTATTTTTATACAGCTGAAAATATTATTTAACCTATAATTCAGGAATTGTACAAAAAGAAATGCCATTTTGATATTATATTTGATATCAACAGGGTATTTTTTTAAAACTGAAATAGACCTTTTTTAATGTCTTTGGGTAAAGCCAGGAGCTGCTAGAGGGACGAAGAATGTGTGGAGTCCATGAACATGCATGAAACACTTGAGTGGCCCAATGGACAGATGCGGTCAGCAGTCGATCCTTTTGACAGAGTGGAACGCTGATTCTGGTGCCGAGAGACAAGCACAGGTCCCACAGTGGTGGAACCGCATGGGACAATAAGGAGAGCACATCGAGTGGCATGGCAAATCAGAGAGGCTTTGAAAAACAGCTTTGTGAATGGCCAGACAGCAAAAGGACAGTCATGTATATTGTTCTTAATGAGGTGCCCTCTGCATTCAGGGTGGGGACCCGTAAACCCTGTAACCTCCCTCTCACCTGTGCAACACAAGAAGCAATGAAGATACTGCTGTTGAGAAATCATGCACTTTTATTTAGGAAACACAAAGGAGCAGAGACAGAAAAGGAGTGAGGGGAGGGAGCAATCGCAGTGGTGAGAATGACGGCCTTCTGTTCTGGGATTCTAGCGCGCCTAAGCAAGGAGGCATGGGCTGCAGGGGGGCTCTGTGCTCCAACTGCCTCTCCTCTGACTCTACCAAGTGTGTTAGCAGCTCTGTTTGCTGTCCCATGAGCCTCAAGATGTCCTCCTGTGACCTGTGTTTGCGTTCCATGCATGCTTTCCTCTCGTCACGCTTCGTCCATATGTCCTGCAGCATGTTCTCCTCCACGCATTTTAATTGTGCCCTGGCCGTACAGGCAGATTGCCTTTGCTCACTGAGCATGTCATCCTGATTTACGTTTTCACCTTCGGATTTGTGCTAGCTGAACAACTGGAGGAGCCTGGGCAGTGGACAACTGGCTCACTGTTGCACCCACTCTAATGAAAGAAGTGAAGGGCAGATCCATTTACAGGAGATCCATTGTAGAATGCAGAAGTTAATCTCTTAGCATAAAAGAACATCTGTGCAAGACAATAGGCATGTGTTATGTATAAGGCCAGAGTTATGCTTTTAAGCACCCACTATGCAGCGGATACAGTACAGAGACCTTAAGAGAGCCGCTGGACTCATTTTGGTGGCAGACGTGGTAAGGAACTGATTGGGGCTCCCTCTTTTGCTTCCATTTTGAAAGCACGTGCGACACAGTGGCTGCAAATAGCAGCTCTTGGAACTAGGCAAGTGTCTGTGTTTGTAAAGGGAGGCCAAAGTGGCATGGGGCTAGGCAGCGGCTCTCGCCGTGACCATGTATGGGGCATCCCCCACTTGCTGGGAGAGTGCAACTTTCTCTTCTCACAGGAGCCTGATAGGGGCAAGAGAGCCAGACATGGCAGCAGGACACGGGCGTGCACAGTCAGCCAACCACGCTCTGTTAGGGATGAGCAAATGGAGGTGTGCTGCCTCAGTGGTATCAGTTACAGCGCTTCCCCTGCTTCCCCCAGGTTGCCATGCGCAATACGTCTTCTCCAAAATCCCACAGAGCGATAAAGAGCACATGCTGACTCAATGGCCAGGAACCTGGGCCTTATGCTGCAATGCTCTGTGCTGCCATGATGCCAGACCACTTACTGCTGGCTTGGCGCGGGAAGGTGTCCTACCGTGGAGGCCGGAATAAGGCTGGCCTCCCCAGAGACCTTGTGAGAAGGATAAAAAGAGGTAATCTGTGAGAGCTTTATGGAGATGTGCAGGGAGGATTTCCGCTCCATCTCCAGACACATTAACAAACTGTTCCCGGGAGCTGCCGCACAGATCACACCTGATTGCCTTAACCCACTTACAGCATGATAAAAAATGTGAACTCACAGAAGTGCCCTTCCTGATATCAGGGCCTGGCAGTAACGTGTCCTGGGAGGAAGGGATTGTCTCCAAGGTGATAAAAGGATCCTGGCTGTCAGTGGGACTGGATGCTCTGCTCACATGCTGACCATTCTCCTCCTCATCCTCAATGTTCTTCCTGCTGTTGTCCGAGGCTGCATGAAGACTCTCTTGGGATGTATCCACGGACAGGGTTAGAACACTGGTCAGGTTCTACCTAGAATCTTATGAGAAGCTACTCATAGAAACGGCATGTCAGCGGCACTGACTCAGACCATTCGTTTGCCTCCTTTGTCTTCTGACACGCCTGCCTGAACTCCTTTATTTTCATGTGGCACTGCTGGGTGTCCCTGGTGTGTCCTTTTTCCACCATGCCCTGTGCGATCTTGGCATAGATTTCAGCGTTTCTTCTACTGCTTCATAGTTCTGCCTGAATTGATTCCTTTCCCCACACAACAATCAGGACCAGGATCTTCTATAAGCTCCATGCTGGAGCTCATTTGCGAGCTTTGGCATTCGCGATCAGGTGTGCTGCTGAAGTGTGCTGCCTGCTTTGAGGTTTGCGCGCCATGCTGCCCAAAGAGGAAATGAAATTCAAATTTTCCCGGGGCTTTTCTTGTGCACCTGGAGAACAGCAGAGTTGAAAGTGCCAGAGCAGTCACACCGGTAGAGTCCTGCGCAGATACAAAATTTTGTATCCTCATCTGTTTCTGCGTAAATGATTCGCAGATATAAAGTGGTTATTCGCAAATTTGCAGGGTTCTAAATACTGCATCAATATCTGCAAAAATAAGCCACGGTTATTTGCATTCATATCCGTGGATGTGGATACCAGCAGATATAAAACAGCTATTTGTGAATTTGCAGGGCTCTACACACATAGGCACTGTGGGATGCCATCTGGAGGCCAAGAATGTCAACTTTCACAGTGGTGCATCTGCACTATCCCTGAAGAATTGGGAGCTTAATGAGTAAACGAGACACCTCGGGGAATAACAGAAAATGTTATATATATAAAAAAAGAAAAGATTGTCAGGCTACATCCTCAAGACATACATCACAGATTATTTATGGAAAGCTCTGTTAAACAGCTTGGAAACTTAGCAAACAGATAACTCTGAAAGGTCAAAGTGTGCTTTTACATTGTGGAAAATGTCAGACATTGGGAAAGGTTAAGACATTCAGGATTTTAAAAATAAATTATTCAAACTCTGGCACTGAAGATTTGTCCAATAATTTCTGATCTGATAAGGGGGATTTGACAAATAATTACAGAATTGTTCTAGAAACACTGTTTTGGCGTTCACTTTTAAAAAACAAGTATTATTTCTTCTCAATTGTGACACAATTTTGTGGGAAACAATATTGAATTATAATTTTATGTTGCAATTGTGTTGCTTTAGCAAGGTAGGAGGATGCATGAATGATTTTCCCTTTTAGATGCTCAAGTGAGATGATCTAATAATATTTGACTTTTAAAAACTGCCAGAGATTATGATAATGGTTATGCTATCTGTCCAAAGATCATGTGATCTAGAAAAAGGAGCACAGTAGCCATACTTACGCCATGTCAAAATTACATTTGTAGAGACCTGCGCGGATACAAAATTTTGTATCAGCATCTGGATCTGCAAAAAGAAGCCGCGGATATCCGCATCCATAAAGCAGATACTATTAAACTTACGACAAATTTGGTCAAATGGAACTACAATTACTAAAGTTTCACAAGTTCACTTAAATGCAGTTGATCAATGAATTTTTTAACTACAGTAAGATTCTCTTTTACCATCAATAGGTATAAGCTAATGTGCAGAAACAGAATACATATAGACTGCAGGTGTATGTTAATCTTTACCAATTGAGGAAAGGTTAAGAATACCATGTTCAACTGCTATTTGTTCTCAAGAATAAAAATGGGTTTCTGGTGGTGGTTTTGAAAATGCACGTCTTGTATGTTAATGGCTGATTAGAATCTGAGAGGGATAAGTCACATGTATCATGAACTTCATAACATATTTCAATATGTAACATAATGTGGAACAGAGGGAAAAGATACAAGGAGTTTTAGCAAAAATATTCATAGAGCAGCAAAGGGAGAGTAAGACAATTCTCAGAAATGCAAGATGTCCGCGATGTAGCTAACACTTACCAGAATGTGACTTGAATTGGAGTAAGGCACTGTTGTACCCCAGTGTAATTAGGACGGACTCTTTGCCCACACGACAGTATTCTGTGTCTCTGTTAACCAAGCATTTAAACACACAGACTCCATCAGCTGAAGGGGGAAAAAATACTTTAGAAATGCTTAAGATGTTAAAACACATATCACAAACAGAAGTATAGCTATCTACATTGTAAAACTGTCATACGCATGCATGAAAGATAGGAAATTTAAGGGAGAAATTTATTCTCCCATGTAGTCCTCAAACTTTCCCCATTCTGTGATTCACAAAATGGCTAAAACGTCTTTCCCCTGCCATCTCTTATGCCACAGGCCTTTGTGACCTGTGTTGTGTTTGGGTGGTGGAACAGAAGCAGATACAATAGGAGGAAGACAGCCGGTGAGAGTTAGTCCTCCTCTCCCCAGCTTTAGGTCCCCATAGTAAGGTCGTAGCAACAGCAGCATTGTACTGGTTGATCAGCTGGTGCAGGCAGCCCTGTAACCATCCTCTCACAAGCCACTTTTGGATCACGTCCTTTAGGTCAGCCTGCTGCTCTAACCAATGGAGTTGCAAAGAAAAAAATAGGAATCAAGCTGTAACAACTAAACAGAATGAAGAAACTTCAGCCATTTTCCCTCTTTTTCATCTTTGACATCTTGGATGTCATGAAACGCAGTTATACTATGCCATGCCATGTAAGAAATGAGATCCTCCCATAAATGCTCCTTTTTGCAACCTTAGTGATAATGATTCAACTAGTTGGCTTCACAAGAACTTGATTCACTTCTAAGTGTGCTTTGGATGAGGTAAGCACAGGCACTACTCTCTGGAGAGGAAGGTCCAAAATCAGCGGTTTGAGAAATGGTAAACTGGCAGACGCTCCCACAACCATCCTTGCATCTGTCCGGACCAGAGGTAACACAATTTGCGGCCCGGCAGCCTAGCTCTGTAGCTGGCCAGGAAGGATTGTACTGCTGTGTGGCTGCTGCAAGAGCTCTGGCCACCTGTGAAGGGTGGGGCCATACCGCTTGCTGGGATAGGGGACACTAAGAAGGCTGGGGGCAGTAAAGATGACGGGGGCTTGGCTCTATGGGGGAAGATTGGTGAAGGAGCGGGGCCTCGGACAGAAGGGGCGAGGCTGAGGTTTGCCTTCCCCAGTTGGGCCTTCGTCCACTGACCATGCACAGAGGAGAAAGCGGAGCACATAGTGTAAGTAAAGAAAAGGACATAAGGAAGCGGATTGAGAGAGAACGGAAAGAGAGTACAGATAGTCCTAATAATGTAGAAAAGATATACTATGACCTGGTATAGAGTATGAAAGAAAAACTAGAGCAGGGGTGGGAAGGAGGCTGCTAGCGGACTGAATCCAGCCTGCCAAGCCACCAGATCCAGCCCGTGGCTGCCTCGCCGGAATCCTTAGCAGCTCACACTTTAAAAAGCAGGCTGCTCTCTGCTCTCTACTGCTGGGGCAAAGGAGGGAGGCTTTACTTGCTGACCCTACCTCCCGCAGCAAAATCTCTCAGTTCCCATTGGCCAGTTTCCAGTCAATAGGAGCTAAGAAATTTTGCTGGGGGCAGGATCAGTATGTGAAGCCTCTCTTCCCTTCCCCCATGCTCAGAGTGGAGCCACATGGAACCGCCACAGCCTTGGACTGCAGCAGACAGCCTGCCTCAAGTTTTTACAGGGCTGCTGGCTGGGAGCCGCCTAGGTAAGTGCCTTCCAGTCAGAACCTGCCTCTTGCAATTACCTTCTCCAGGCCACCACTCAAACTCTCTCTATTCCTTTCCCCCCTTCTCCCATGTTACAATTCCCTCCCAGATCCTGCACCTCATTCTAGAGCCCTTCCATCAGACCAGAACTTCTCCTGCACCCTTATCCCGTCCTAGACCCTGCACCCCATGTCCCTGCCCCACTCCAGATCACCTCCCTTCTTCATCCAAACTCTCTCTCAGACCACACACCCACTCCTGCACCCCAGTTCCCTACCCCAAGCTCCATTGTGCACCCAACCTCTGTCCCATACTCCACACTGTCTGCATAGAAATGTGGCCCTTTACCACTTGCCAAAGTCTTGGAGTGACCCCCCCCTATTAAAAATTATTACCAACCCCTGAACCAGAGAGTGAGCCCAGGATGGGAAAGGCAGCACAAAAATGCAAGTGATTTAGTACGTTTAAAACATTTAAAGAAGTAATTTAACAGAACGTTAATAGTAACATACTGTCCATCATATACACTATAGAACTGTCTGTCTGAGTCTGTTGAAAAGCAAGCAATTTCATGAGCGGGAAAGAGAGTCTCAGGAGCCCACATATTTTTTCCTCTAGCCATTAGGCTTAGTCAGGCCCGCTGAAGGGGAGCAGGGAGGGGAAAGGAGCAGTTGCCCTGGGGCCTGGCAATTCAAAGGGACCTGGGACTCCTGGCTACCGCCACTGGTTCTTCCTTTAAAATCACCACCGGAATGCCACGCTGCATGCTTTGAGCAGCACTAAGGGTTAGGTGGGTGTGCACTGTGGGCAACTTGGGAGCTGGCATGGTACATTCTGGGCAGTACTCAGGGCTGGTGACCCATGGCTCTGCCCCTTCTGCCTGAGGCCCTGCCCCTTCCAGGAGCACAGAGCTGCCCCCACACAATGGCCCATGGAAGCTGGCTAGGGCTAGGTGGTATGAGGTACATTTTTCTAATCTTGTTCTTAAAAGAGATCTGCTGGAGTGAGAAATGAATACAATATACTGCCCACAGTAATACACATTTCATGTTATTTTTGTCTTAAGTATTCAGAATTCAAAAGTGTGTGTTCCCAAATTGAGCTTGTACACAACCTGACAGATACCTACAAATTTGACTTTCAAGATACACACACTTACATGTGAATGTATATTCCTCCCTGGATTGGTCAGGATGGTGCATGCATAATTCAGTTGCTTTGTGCATACTTCCACAAGTAACAAGCCAAAGTGACTATGCAGCCAGCTACTTTCCCACAGTTATGTAGGGGGGCCTCCTTTAGTTCTATTAGTAGAGGCTTGTGCTTTTGGTGGTAAAGGGTTCAATCCAGGGATGCTGGAATAATGTTTATAGCGGCGGCACAGAGCCACTGGATCAAACTGTAAATACTGTATACTGTATAATGCAATCCACTTCAAGTTGGGGTTGGGTCAATCCCCACTGAAAATTGCCGTATCTACACTGCCACGACCCATTACAAGGATCTCAGCTTTGGGAAATGAGACATTTTCTTTCTTTTCTTGTTATCATACCACCATCCACTTACTATAACACCTTTCATGCAGAACACCACAAAATGCTTTAAAAAACCCCACATGAGTAACAGCTCAGAAAACACTGGAACATCTGACTATGATTTCATCTGATGAACACTAAAAGCCAAGTTGAAAACATGTGCTTTTTTGCCTAGATATAAAAGGCATGATTATCTTGGCCTGAAGCAACTTCATCAAAAGCTAATTACACAGACTAAGATTTTGTACAACAAAGTCCATATCTCTGTAGGTCTCTAAGAAGAATCTTTCATGATCAGGATTATAAGTGATTAAAAGGTCAATTATAGGCCCCTGACTAAAGTTTGTGAACCATTAAAAAAAAAACAACCGACAAAACTTTATCTAATCTAATTTTTAGTTGACTGTATAACAAATACTGTTGGACTACTAATCAATCAAATGATCAGAATGCATTTTGACAATCTGTCATCTCACAAAGAAGACAGCAGCACTCTTAAGTAACTGGAGTTCATTCATGATCTTATTAGTCAGCATCTCTCAGTAAGGAACTGTAAATACTTTCTCTCTCTCTCTCTCTCTAAGAAATACTACCCATGTACCTCAAATGGTTTTTAAAACATTAATAAATTATGCCTCACAATTCACCTGTAGCCTCTCCTGTTCACTAGTCCAGTATGAGATTATTCAATATGGAAGAAGCCTTGTGACTTTTTACACAACTTTGGGAGGCTAAGTCAGAGGCTCCTTTGTGTGCACCTCAGACCAGACCTACTCAGACAAATCACCAGGAACAGGCTTCATTCTGTAAAGAACACAGAACAGGATTACAGTTCAACAGCCTCCTCTCTGCTTACAGCCTATTTGCTCCCAGCTCAGTCAATGCCGAAACCCTCCTGGAGGGCAGAGGGTACATCCTGGCAGGAACCAGGAAATACTCCCAATATGCCAAAGTTTGCAGTTCACAATTTATAGTTCCTAGGGCTGCTCCTGAAGCATCTTGGGGTACACACCCACAGAACTAAAACTAATAGTCACTTCTGGGAAACATTTAAGATTCCACTAGACAAATGATACAATTTTATCCCAAAGCAAGAACTCCCTCCCTACCAAACACAGCCACCACAAACACATTATTTGAAGGAACAATTTGGCTGCCATCAGTCATTTAAAATGACGAGGCTGGGCACAATGTTTTCTTCATATCAGGTTTGATGTTAAGTTCTTCAAGATCTAAAACCAGAAGTTAAGCAGAAGTGATGACACACATGATATAATTACTGGCCTCTTAGAGCTAACAAATTATAACAATCCTACTTGTTATGTAGTGCTTCATCTATAGATCTCACATCACTTTACAAAGGGAGTTAGCAGCATTACTCCCATTGTACTTATGGGGAAAACTGAGGGATAGAGAGATGTGAAGTGACTTGCCCAGGCTAACTCAGCAGAACTGTGGCAGAGACAGAAACATGACCCAGGTCTGTTGTGGCCCAGTTCAATATTCATTAGGAAGTACAGTCCACCTCATACTAAACAAAAATATTTGCTAGAGAATCTTTTTAATGCTACAAAACCAAACAGTGAATCATCACCATGATGAGCAATGATGAGATAATAAGTGAAACTATTAAGAATGGCAGTGGATTGAGTTTATGAAGACAGATTGGCAATAAAAAAAAGCACTGAACCCAAGAGATGCATTAATAGTCATTAGTGCTTAATGCAGTCAAGCCAATACTTTATTCACCATAAAAGTCTAATGCAACAGATAATTCAAGTTGGATGAAGGCTGAAGAAGCAGATGCAAGCCTGGAAAATAATAAGCACCATTTTGGTAGCATGGTCAGAACTGAAACTAAACCAGAAC